ATTTCTTTAAGAACTTGCCATAGTTTGCTATGGTCCACACAGTCAAAAGCTTTTGCGTAGTCAATGAAGAAGTAGTAGATGTTTTCGTGGAACTCTCTGGCTTTCTTCATAATCCAGCGCATGTTAGCAATTTGGTCTCTAGTTCCTCTGGCACTTCAGAATCCAGCTTGTACTTCTGGGAGTTCTCAGTCCACATACTGCTGAAGCCTACCTTGGAGGATTTTGAGGATAACCTTGCTAGCATGTGAAATGAGTGCAACTGTACAGTAGTTGGAACATTCTTTGGCACTGCCCTTCTTTGGGATTGGGATGTAGACTGATCTTTTCCAGTCCTCTGGCCACTGTTGAGTTTTCCAGACTTGCTGGCATATTGAATGTAGCACTTTAACAGCATCACCTTTTAAGATTTTAAATAGTTCAACTGGAATGTCATCACCTCCACTGGCCTTGTTGTTAGTCAGGCTTTCTAAGGCCCACTTGACTTCACTCTCCAGGATGTCTGGCTCAAGGTCAGCAACTACATTTTCTGGGCTGTCCGGGACATCGGGATCTGTCTGGTATAATTCCTCTTTGTATTCTTGCCACCTCTTCTTGATGTCTTCTGCTTCTGTAAGGTCCCTACCACTTTTGATGTGCCATCATAGGATCCTTCAGAGGCAGTTCACTTCTCCATGAAGTGTACAGAACCTCATATCCTTGCTCCCTTCCATGTGGAAATGGTGACAACAGAAGATGTGCAGTTTATATCCTCAAAGCAGTTATCCTGCATAACATGTGTCCTGCAAGACTGAATAACAAAACAAGCAGACTCACCTTCTCAGCAGACAAGTATAGCTTTTGCTGCCATTGAATAAGTGTGTGTTCTTACCTGAAGCTGAAATTTTGCAGCTAGTTTCTGGTACTGAGGAGATGTGGGATCACTGAGCTCTGGGGTGTACTCCTGGTTGGTCAGGGTGACACTGAATTCCACCATCTGCTCCACAGGACGTTCAGAGACTATGTTTGGAACCTCCGGCTTTGGCTCCTGAAAGAACAGGAAAGGAAATAAAATGCAAAGAATAACACTCATATACTAAAGGTGAACCCAGTTCCTGACTGTCAATCCTTATGGCACCCTCCCAAAGCCCTATCTCTTTCGACATCCCCGACTCCAAGACACCAAGGGCTCTCTTTGCTGTTCTCAAATGATGCTACCAGGAGGTCCTGGAACAAGGAGGAACGCTTTGCTTCTCCATCTCTGCCCCTTTAAAAGCAAAACATGGGTTCCCACTGGTGTAGTGAAAATGGGTTATGCAATAAGAACTAAAAGCTGTGATTAACAGATGTGGATGGAATCTTTGCGTAAAAAGACACATCAAATGGCCATTTCTTTTCCACAAGCTTAGGCGGGAAACATCATTCACATTTAACTTAGCAGAAAGACACTAATAAAACATTTACATCTTAAGGCAAGTGGATGTAGAGAAAAGCTAACGGTGTCACAAGAGAGAACTCTGCAAGCTACTGATTTAGGAAACCAAGAGCAATGCCCTAGCTAGATGAAATGTTAACGGGTCCTCACCTTCATGGGAATCTTGGTGTCATTGACAATCTCATTCACCAGGGTACCTGCAGGGGCTGCTATGTGCAGAGGGAGAGGAAGGAAAGAGAAGAAACCCTGGAGTGTATTTTTGCCCAGTATCCACAGAGTAGCATAAGTAACAAAACTCTGAAGTGCCCGTCTAACACAGAGCTACGAACGAAAACACAACTTTAGTTCTCATGTTGTATGCAGTTTGAGAAAGAACAAAGAAAAGAACTAATCACACAGACGGTTACTTGTCCATCAGCTCCACCGAAATTCAGTGGTGCTTACTCCTAAGTAAATATGCACAGGGTTATGCTTAGAGAACGGAACTAGATCGAGAAAGAACAAAGAAAAGAACCAATCTCACAGACAGTTACTTGTCCATCAGCTCCACCAAAATTCAGTGGTGCTTACTCCTAAGTAAGCACCAGGGTTATGCTTAGAGAACGGAACTAGATTTGAGGTCATTTGCACAATTAACAATTGTGAGGTGGGATATTACAAATAAATGCTATCTGTGGGAGCACATATCTCGGGTGAGGATGGAGACGGACAGCCTTGATCTTCTTCCCCACCTCCCCTTGGTCTGTAACAACCTGAGCCATTAATCCTGAGGATTAGTGGTGTCTACCTCCCACCCTGGTCTTTATCCAAATTGGACCCACTATGTTTCTAACTACATTGAATGAATGGGATCATTCCTGTTTTGGTCCTGCGTTCTCATTTCTTCAGACACTCCCTGTATGAGAGCAGAATAATTTTGCTGCAGCATACACGGCACTGCATGCTTGCATGTACTGATAACAGTGTGCCTTCAAGGGCACCCAGCCCAATATAAATGAACGTGGCCTGATAATGTCTTCTGGAAAACTTCAGCAACTTTCCTGAAATGCATTTTATGTGGAAGCACGATGAGTAGCACACAGTATCTGGTGGTTTATAAAGTTTTATACTCTCAAGCCAAAGATAAAAAGAAAACGTATAACCAATTTCAAACACAAATTATTAGAACATGGCCCTAAGAGTGCTTGCTAACTGCACTTCAGAACTCTTAAACCAGTCTTTGAAATTGTTTGTTAAAATTAATTCATTATACTTGTATTAAGAATGTTGGTAATGATTTCTAAATTTATCATTTTAAGCCATTAAACAAAAATATATTCTTTTATTTTTTTTTTGATTAATGTTAAATGTTTCTCATTGATTTGTAACTAGACATTTTAGTAACGGCCAATTAACAATAACAAAGCAATTTACATGTTACAGTTCGATGTTAATGTATTTATACTAACAACTCCAAACTCTGTTCTCAGCTATGGCAACAATAATAGAAGTGACCTAACTTAGTTTTAACAGCTAGAAGAAAATTGCATGTGTGGTTTTACCTGTAGCAAGAGCTTGAGGTTCCTCCGGTTTTTTGCCGCCAGTTTTTTCTGTAGAAATCTCTTCTTTTCTATCAAGAAAGGAATAAGAAACATTATAAATGATGCCAAGAAGATAAAAGGAACAGGAACTCATTCTTCCGTAAGTTGAAAGTTAAGGCCACAATCGAGCTACAGGTATGACCTATTCTTTTCCACAGGGAGTTAACTCATTTAGTTTAAATTCATGGAAATTAACATTCCTTACACTTAGCTGGATCAAGCCTTGGACATACAGAATTTCTCCAAGTAATTAAATAAGGCCAGAATCCATTTGGAAAAAAAACTGTGCATGCAACAGGAATGAGTGTTATTATTGCACCTCATTCTGAAGATGGTGATGATAATAGTAACTGGTGGTGACAATGGTGCTAGGAGTGCCATCAGTTGTGCTTTTATGGTTTCATAAACAAAACAGAAAGGCCTGTACACCCATGGCAACCTCTGAATGAATCCAGCAATGGGGAAGACAACACAGAGAAGGCAAGGAGAGGCAAGGGCTGCAAAGATAAATGGTAGCAAATGCTGATACATGCAGTTAACCTAGGTTACAGCTGGAGAAGATGGTCAAGAGATCCAGCCAAATATCTCATGAAAAGGGTGTGTTTTTTTCTTTTTTAGGAAGTATTTGAAGGAAGACTGAGATCAAGAGCTGCTGCTCCATATTATGTCCAATAAAAAAATCTAGCCAAGGGAAAAAATGGGCAGTTCCTCACAGTCCACTATAGCTGCCTCTAAAGACAGAAGACCTTAAGAAAGTTGGAGAAACAAAGGTCAAATGCAGTGCTGTGAGGGCAAGCAAGGGACTGAATATATATATATATATATTAAACGGGGCACTCGTTATACGGGGCACCACTCTGTGTGTGTGTGTGTGTGTGTGTGTGTGTGTGTGTGTGTGTGTGTGTGTGTGTGTATAAATAACACTGTTGATCCTTCACATGACTGAGAATTTGTCGATTCTTCACATGATTGTTTTGCCCTATCTTTTGTCCCTTGCTTGCCCTTATATATATATATAACAAACTCAATCTACTTCCAATTGAATTTGGAACAAACCATTGCCTTTGTTATTTTTAAGAAAAGTAGGAGGTTGCTTCTGTCTTTTCAAACTGGGACTGGCAACCTGTGATCCCTGGTCTGTATTCAGGCAGGTACGAAAACAGTGTGCAAGTCGACAGCAGGAAAACCAACAATAACTGCAACTTTGAGCATACAACAGTGAATTCGGTTATGAACTTTGCTGCATCTTTATTTTAGAAACCATTTTCAAGCTTGAACGTTATAATTCAGCTTGCTGTAGCTAATGGCTGACTAACGCTCTAAAACCCCACATCACAAAGCTCCATGCAAAACCGTGGATAAATGGATTAGAGCTGAGGATAACTGACTATAGACGATATTTTCGCAAATTGGACAGACCTGTGTAAGGATCACAAATTTCCCTAATTTTAGGAGTGTCAGATTCTGACAAATTTTGATACCTTTCTTAACTGTAACAGGATAACTATGAGAGGCATAAACCATGATATGCGTATTTTTTTTATGGCATGGCTGTTGAAAGAACAAACACAATAAGATCAACTATTACTGATGCAAAAATCCTCACGTACCTTTTACATTTTTGTTAATAAAAGGCAGGAATATCAACTGGCGAATACTCTATTTTTGGTTTACTTACCTGTCCTGGAAGGTTCTATGTTTTACTCGCTGAAAAAAAAAGATTTAAAGAAAGAGGATTACTTGAAAGTTTATTCAACTATCAAATGGAAAACACTGATTTCTTCTCTTGGTTGATATTATTATTACATGAATCTTTTAAATGTCATTTTCCCTCTTCAGTGTACCTTTTAAATTGTTTCAAAGCACCTTGGTATTTAAGAAAGAGATATCTATAACTGTTAGAAAATATATTCTGTAGCTCTTACCCGTTGAATTATCTCTAGATGCTCTTGAGAATTACTGAAATTTTTCCCAATGTCAAATATGCAGAATGTTTCCCGCTGGCAGGCAGTGACCCAATTCTGATATTCTGTTGCATCAGGAATACGATCCAGAAAAATTCTAAAAGCTTCCCATACAGCTTCTTGGCAAACTGGGACAACAGGAAAAAAACAGAGTTTACTGAGCAGAGTTCTTTAATCCCTATTGAATATTTTTTAATATTTATATTATTTATATTCTGCCTTTCTCCCCATAAGGGACCCAAGGAATCTCATAAGAATTAAAACTTTACAATAATTTGTAAACAAGTTTAAAATATTATACAAAACTTCATTCAAAACAGTTAAACATTAATCAAGGTTAAAAATAAATTGAAAAACACTTTAAAATATTTTATAATATCTAAATTTCCTAAACAGAGCACTCCCTAGACCTGTACCTATTGCTTAACAGCCTGCCTGAAAAAGAAGGCCATTGCCTAAGAATGGAAGGACAAGTGGAAGGGGTCCAACTTGGCTTCTAGGGGTAGTGCTTTCCAAAGTCTGGGAGCAACCACTAAGAAGGCCGCCAACACCATGTTTTCAGTTCAACTATCCAAATAAAAACTGCTAAGACACTATTGCCATGGCCCATATCAGAAAGGCACGGAGGAAGGATAACATAGTCAATGGCACTGAAAGCCATTGAGAGGTCCTGCAGAACTGACAGGGATATACACACCCTCTCCAGTTCCCGGTGTTGGTCATCCACCAAGGTGACCCAAGCCATTTCTGTTCTGTAGCCAGATCTGAAGCTAGATTGAAATAGATCTAGATAATCTGTCTCATTTAGGAACCTCTGGAGCTGGGACACCACTACACATTCCAAAATCCTGCCCTAATATGGAATATTAAGGACTGGCTGATGGATTAGCCAATACAGTGGGATTCAAGGAGTCTTTAAAAACAACAACAACAAAGGTTCTACTACTGCCTGCCTTGTAACAAAGAGGCCTTTACCACTCTTCTAACCCACTCAGTTAGTCCCCCTCTGGTTGCTTTTATAAGCCAGGAAGGGCAAGGGTCCAGCACACATGTGATGGTTTTCACCTCTCAAAAGATCCTGTTCACATAGCCAGGCTACACCAACTGAAACATATCCATTGTATCAGGAGAAACAGGAGCCAAAGTAATATCAGCAGGACCTGTGTCAACTACAGCTTCTACGTCAAATCAGATCTGAATATCTGCAAAATGCTGTGCGAAATCTTCATAGTGGGCCATTGAGTGTCCTTCTCTTTTGGCCATCTGTGCAAAAAGCCCTTGATCACTCAAAAAGCTCTGCTGGACAGCTTTGTGCAGTTGCAATGATGGCATTCAAGAACTGCTTCTTTGCTTCCACCAATGCCACAGAACAGACTTTCCAATGAGCTAGAGCCCATGTTCACTTGGATCTGCTCCATGTTTTCCACCATTATTGGTCCATTCTCTGTCTCACTTGCTTCATCACCCCCAGCTCCGTAAAGAAGCTGGTTTGACTGCACTCCATGGGAGGAGATGCTTAGGAGTGATTGTGTCCATAGCCCTGGCCATCTCTGCATTCCAGAGCACCCACCAAGGCCTCAACCAGATTGCCTGCCAAGGCAGCTGGAAACTCATCAAGAACTGTCAGGAAACCATTTGGAACCATCTTTCTCCTAGGGTGGACCATTTTAATTCCACCACCACCACCACCACCACCCCGCGCAGAGGATGTGTGTGTGTATGAGCCTAAACCCTACCAGGTAGTGATTTGTCCATGAAAACAGGACTACTGAAACTTCCTCTACATCCAGATCTTCAACACCCTGCCCAGGTCAGAAAAGCAAGTCACCCATGTGCCCTGTAGCATGTGGGGTCAGATACCACTTGGAACAGACCCATGGTTGTCATGGTAGATATGAAACCCTGAGCCACTCCTGATAAACTGGTCTCTGCATGGATTCAGAAAAACAAGTCATCCATGTGCCCTGCAGCCCTGGGGCTAGATACCACTTGGAACAGGTTGTCATGGTAGATATGAAATCCTGAGCAACTCCTGATAAACTGGTCTCATGGATATCAAAGTTCTACCAGCACAACAAGCTGCATAATCTGCAACACCACACCTGAGACCAGATCAGCCAGTGAGACTGTTGTACAGGAGGGTGAGTGTAAACAAACAGATTTTCTCTTCTGTCCTGGGCACTCACTCTCAGGTACCTTCACTCACACACAGCAGTCTATAGTACAGGGCACCTGGCAAGGGTGACTGAATCTTGGTAGACTATTGCAACTCCTCCTCTCTGCTCCTACCCCTGGGTCCAGCCTGTGGCTGCACAGAGACCCACAGGTGGACAAGGCTGAGAGGACTAAACCCCCACCCCCAGCTTCATCCAACCAGGTTTCTGTAATGCAAACCAGGTTAGCACATTCATCCAGGATGAAATCCTGGAGGTTAATTGTCTTATCTTTCGCTGAACTTGCAACCCAGGAGGTTTGTCTATTTGACTTGGGAGACAGGTGTGTGTGTGTGTGTGTGTGTGCGTGTGTGTGTGTGTGTGTGTGTGTGTGTGTGTGTGTGTGTGTGTTTTACAATGTCGTTGATCTCTCTCAATTCTGCATCTCCCCCCGCCCTCTGTAACAGTAATGGTTAATTCCCCCCACAACATTCCCTTTCCTTTGAAAACACGTCCCTTGTCCCTTTTCGACAAAAACCTCACAACAGCAGACAGTCAAGCAAAAAGTCCCCTCTCCCTTATCACTCTGTCCCTCTCAAAAAACCAAACCTCCACACAAAAATATTTGCCACTGTACAAGGATGTTCAAGCAATCATAATTTTTGTTACTCCTTTGTGTAGGTTGTGTTGGACCAGATGGGGCTCCAACCCAAAGCTCTCAATCCCTTCTACTCTCTCTCTACCCAAATCTCCTCCAAAGAACAGCCAGCTTCCCCTTGAGCCACCTACTTTGTGAAGAGGAATGACAACGACTGGCTTTTGATCCTTAGAACATTCCCACCGTAACTGCAAAATGGCCATGTCCTGTTCTTTGTTTTCCTTTGAGGAAGAACCACATAATGTGATAATGCATATTTATTCATTTTACTTATTTACTTATTCTAGTTACTTGATTATTTATTTATTTATTTATTTATTTATTTATTTATTTATTTATTTATTTATTTATTTATTTATTTATTTACTTACTTACTTACTTACTTACTTACTTACTTACTTACTTACTTACTTACTTACTTACTTACTTTATTTACTTATTATATATTTACTTGTCTTTTAAAAACTTACACCCAAAGTATATGAACATCATACAGTTCACATGAGACTAATAAAAGGTATGTGGACACAAACGCAAGAGATTTCTTCCACAGCCCTTGGGCACTGAGAGTAAAACTATCTCTAACATTTTTAATGCATACCTATCATAAATAGTAGGCATCGGTATCCACAAATGTACTTTTCCATTTGCACCAAGCTATCACAATTTTGTAGTCCTGAATCCATTCTTTAAACTAGATGCTGCTACGCAATGTTTCACTGGGTGACCCCAGGTTCCATCATACCCACTGTATTCCCCCCCCCCCAAAGCTAATATCAGAATTCATCAGTTGCAGAGGAGCAGGACTAAAACCAAAGCCAAGAGAAAAACAAACTTTGATCAGACGTCTAAAAGAATGGCACTAATAGAGTAGACAGAGTGAATGTACAGTATGTACTGAACCAGTGGTGTTTACATAAATGCTAGTTCAGCATTCAGCAATTGATTTAATGAGTCTACTCTAGCTGGGACTATCAATTCGGTTTAGAATTTGGGGACTAATACGCTATGCTTGGGGGAAGGCATTTCACATAGTGTAGGCCACTAGCGAAGAGAGTGTACTGCTAGTGAAGGATTGTTGCATCTTTTGACAATGGAACCTGGAGCAAGGCCTCAAATGTGGAATGAAACATATGGCAGACGGTGGTCCTTGTGGCCCCAATTTGTTCATTATGACCTACCCACTTATAAGTATGTTCACGAATGCAGACCTAAAGACAAATCCTAGGCCTATCTAAATTAGAAGTTGTAGTTTCTTAGTTCACATCAAGCATGAGCAATTTTTGGACCAACATATGCTCTGAACCAGCCATTCTCAAATGTGTTGGCACAGGACTCCTAGGAGGTGAAATTCAAAACATCTGGAAGGTCAAGTGTTACTCTTGCCTTATTTACAGTAAGTTACTATGCACTGAATTACAGTGTTTGCATTTTTCTTTACATTGTTTATTTATTTATTTATTTATTTATTTAATTTATATCCCACCTATCTGGTCGGGTCAGGCCCACTCTAGGCGGCTAACAACATAAAATGGTACAATAGCTCTCCCTTCCTGTTTACGTTTTGCTATGTAAAAATTGTTATATATATATATAACAATTTTTTACATAGCAAAACGTAAACAGGAAGGGAGAGCTATAGGAGAGGGGAAAGGGGGCGTCAGGAATTATCTGATGGGAAGGCCTGCCCCAGTGAGGGAGCCATGCGAATCTCAGGAGGTAGGTTGTTCCAGAGGCGAGGAGCCACTGCCAAGAAGGTCTGATTTCTTGTCTTTTCCTTCCGGGCCTCCCTCAGCGTTAGGTGGTGGTTGTTGTTGTTTAGTCATTAAGTCGTGTCCGACTCTTTGTGACCCCATGGACCAGAGCATGCCAGGCCCTCCTGTCTTCCACTTCCTCCCAGAGTTTGGTCAAATTCATGTTTGTAGCTTTGATGACACTGTCCAGTGACCACTGTCGTCCCCTTCTCCTCTTGTCTTCACACTTTCCCAACATCAGGGTCTTTTCCAGGGAGCTTCTTTACATAGTTATTTGTAAATGCAATTCCATGTGTTTAGTCATCTACTACCCTGTTTCCTCGAAAATAAGATAGGGTCTTATATTAATTTTTGCTCCAAAAATGCATTACAGTTTATTTTCAGGGGATTTTTTTTTCATGTACAACAATCTACATTTATTCAAATACAGTCATGTCATCTTCTGGTTGCGGCACAATGGGGGAGGGTGGGGTTTCACTTAACTGAGCTTATTTTCTAGGGCTTATTTTCGGGTTAGGTCTTATTTTCAGGGAAACAGGGTATTAAAAAAATAAATAGTTTTT